TTCCTGGCAGAAGTCAGGGGAGGACTACTTCTGGCAGTAGCTCGGACGGTTTGAGGATCACAGTGGTGGCAGCCCCTCCGAGGAACCAACCTCCCAGGGACCGCCACTCCTCTTGCACTTTGCAGCCAGCCGAGCTCTCTAAGGAACGCGCTGGGCCCTCCACAAAGAGCGTACCAGCCGTATCTTTTGGGGCTCCTCCCGACGATCAGCTGTCAATCGCTGCATTGGATGGCGAGTCTGAGCTCTCTGGAGAGAAAGGCACCGAGGCGGGGCTGCTGAGAACCAGTGCGAGCCACCCTGAGAAACCAATCATCTGACATCGAGGACTCGAGACGTGGTGGAGGTTTCCACTCTAGCCCTACCCTCTCGGCGGACCGGGAAAGCAAAGCCGACATCTCCGGATCCGATTCAGGCCGGTCTTGGAGGGCGGTGGCACAGCTGGATCTTCCCCTCCAGAAAGCTCTCCCTCCGATGCAGTGATCGACATCTGGTTGTTGGGAGGAGCACCGAAGGATACCATTGGTTGCGAAGCGTTAGAGGAATGATGGTCCCCCAAGGGCTGGTTTCCTGAGGGGTTTGCCGCCACTGTAACCCTCAGACCGTCTGTGCTACTGCCCGAAGTAGTCCACGCTTGGCTGCCGCCAGTATGAACACTAGGTCGCAGCAGAGGCAACGGCGCCTGGCCCACAGCACCGAGGTGGTCATCTTCCCGCAATGGGAATATGACTCATCCACGAATGCCACCTCAGCGTGTTTAATGCCCAGACAAGATCCTTCATCTTTACAAAGACGCACCCGTGTAAGCTCTTTTATAGAAATAAGCTCTTTCAGGGAAATGCTCTTTTAGGTGCTGAGGCGCACCGGGGAAATGGCCACTTGCAGCACAACAGGTGGTAGTGCAGCCTGAAGTGCGCAACCCACTCGACACGGGAAGGACCACCGCTGAAGCGCCGTCCGCCAACACAAGAAGTTCCCTAGAGCGTGCTAAACTCGTCACACACGAAGTAGTTGGTAGGAGCAGAATGATGTTGTTGCTCGGCTCCGAAGCGAAAAGCTGGTATACATTGCACCAGCTGCCTTTTTATGCTCACGCTGTGATCAGCAGCAGCTGGATGCAATTATCGCATGCCAATGTGCATTGGCTCGTTTAGTTTACACTCGAAGTAGATTGGTCTCTCTAAGCGAGATCCCAATTCGTCGAAAGGTTACAAACAACTCAAATATTGATGTCGATCAGCCAGCAGATGGCATTAAATGTCAGCTGTAGAAATGCAAAATGTTAGAACAGAAGTCCAAAAAACACATTTTCAATCTAAAAGTAGAGAGGATGAACTTTCATTGATGGAGTGTGTAGAGATAAATGATAAAAGTGAGAACAAATCAGATGACGAAGTGATTGAAAATTGTAGTCAGTTCACAGTTAGTTCTGGTGTCGTGAGGTCTGACAGTGATTCAGACAATGAATATGAAAGTATAGAGAGTTTCTTTGAAGTTGGAGACAATGACAATGAAGTGAAATTCTACTCTGGGAGACAGATTAGCACCTTTCTTGATGAAACAAAAGGTGTGCGGAATCTACAAATTGCTTATTTTTTTTTCAGATTTGAGGAAATTTGTAGCTTCCTGTAGAGATGTAATGAGAAATACCACAGTTGAGGAGTTTAGCAGACAAAAACAATACCGTCTCAAAAAAATTTATCACCAAAGTAAAGAAGATGATTCATCAAGGAAAAGAGTAAATTATTATTGATTCGGTAGAGGGACAGTTTTGTTTTGATCGCTGCATTACAGTAACTTTTTATGACATCCTTACAAATTAGATGTCGTAATAAAGAAAAGAGAAGTGCTCTCATCGAATTTTTTGATTTTAAAAAGGCTAGTGTGATATTCTTGCAAGAAACACGCATAGATACTGTATATATAACCAGGCAGAATAGCTAAATGAATGGAAAGGGCAGAGGTTTCTTAGCCATGGTTCTAGTGTAAGTGCTGGAGTAGCTGTTCTCATATCAGAAAGTGTCCAGGGGAACGTTTCCAATATGGTAGAAATAATTCCTGGAAGAATGCAGCGAGTAGATATCATTTTACAAAGTGTGTCCTTTTCCCTTATTAATGTATATGCTCCCAACATTGGATATGAACGAGTTAAAATTTTTTTTTAAAGTTACAGGAAGCTATGAATAATATTTCTTGTGAACATTTTATTATTGTAGCTGGAGATTTTAATTGCACTCTTGATCATACAGTCGATAGGAATCATGATGAACCTCATCTTAATTCAGCAGAAGCTCTTAAGAAAGTAATACTTTTCCATTCGTTTTTGTAGATGTGTGGAGAGAATCTTTTCCTAAAAGTAGGCAATATACTTGGCTGAAAATGAATTCCAATATATTATCAGTGTCACTTGTATGCTCCCGTTTAGTTCCTGTTGTCCTTATTTGGTCCTTCCAGTTCCTTTTCCCATTATTAGTATCACCTGCTCCTTGTTATTAGTCGAAAAACTGGCGCCCTATCTCCTTATTAGGAAAAGATAACCAGATACTTTCAAAAACATTAACATCATTTGAAGAAGGTTATGGCTTCTATAATTGATGAAGATCAATCATATTGGATTCCAAGATGTTCCATCTTTGATATCCTGTTTCTGGTGCGTGACCGATTACATCTTACTGAGATATATAAACGTGATGTAGGCCTTTTGTCTCTTGACCAGGAAAAGGCATTTGACAGAGTCGATTACGGATATCTTTTTAATACTTTGTCAGCCTTTGGATTTGGAGAACGGGTTATTTCATGGATTCAGATACTTTATACAAAAGGGCTTCTTCCTGCTCTTCTTATAATGTGCTAGAAGTTGTAGACATTTAAAAAATTTATAATTTTGTTTCTCTATTTAACAACATTAACTTACAAAGACATCTTCCCTCAGGTATTTGTATTTATTAAGCACCGATAAACACAACAGCAGTTGACCATAGGGCTGTACAAATAAAATAAAAGCCAGTAAAAAGAATAACATCAGTAAACTCCAAAGATAATTTAATATACAAAGTTTAAAATGCCAATAAGAAAATAAGATTTCAATTTACTTTTAAACTCACAGAGACAGTATTTGGAGCTTTCACAGATAAAGGAAGGTTATTCCATAGCCTCAGTCCAACTATGGAAAATAGTACAAGGTAGATATTATGTTTTCTAGCTGGATGTTGTTCTTACGATCAATAATCACATCTCTGCATTCATCCAAACTGATTTGCAGAAATTAAAACATGAGTCCCGCTCGCTGTGAAGCGGGAGCAACTTGGCGGCAGAGGATTCTGCTTGGTCTTAAAGCCTTCCTCGAGCAGCTACGTTCGCAATTCAAACAATGCTTTGGGAAAATAATAATTTATTTGTATGGTCTACTCTAGGTGGTCATACGGCGTATGCCTGCAAATATGGGACAAACTGATGCCTTAAATACGGGATGATTCCATATTATACGGAACGGTTGGCACTGCTAAACATCAATCTTCTGGAC